TGTGTGTGTGTGTGTGTGTGTGTGTGTGTGTGTGTGTGTGTGTGTGTGTGTGTGTGTGTGTGTGTGTGTGTGTGTGAGACTATGAATGACTGAATGGAGGAAGGGTATCACCTGACAGGTAGAGGAGGTAGAAAAAAAAAAACAGCAGCATTTCCCAGCCCCCACTCGACTGTCTTTGACTCGCCTGTTAAAACTCCTTATGCTCCTCTATCCATTCACCTTCCCCCTCTTCTCTGGAAGCGTTCACCTTCAGTAGCCGTTTACCAATAATTATTTATTTTCAGCAGTAGAACCCATTAGTATTCTCTCTCTTCTCAGTGGCACGTTAACGTTTGTGTTCACTTTACCAAGTAATGTGCATACAACTTGCGATTTGTGGTGCACAATAATTTTCATTAATCCTGCACTGCAAAATAATCAGCCATCATTAGTTTTTGATTTTCAGTTTACATTTTTTTATTTTAGTAGTGGATATTGCTTTCACAAAATGTGTCTTGAATGTAATAGTGTATTTTATTTTTTGCCATTAGTAGAATTTGAGCTGTTTTAAGAATTTGTTAAGTGTTACGTTCTGTTGTTTTGAAGGTGTAGTACGTCTTTAAACAAATACCAAAACATACCTTGTTTTTCTAGACACATACCATGGTAATGGCATGTTTTTGGACATTTACACTGAAAATACTAATGTATATATTTTCCTGATGTCCTGAAAAATGTTCCTTTGTAGAAGAGTCTTAAACCCCCATGAAAAGAATGCAAAATGTCTGAACTGTAATAAATTGTTTCTATAATTGGTAGGCGATTATTTTGGATGTTGTGTGAAGTGGCTTCATGTTAACTGTTCCAGTTACAATTAAGATTAATTTGAGATTCATATGCCTGGACCAACATTTTAGCATCATTTACTGAACAAGTTATTAAATGTTTACCTAAAGGGATAGTTCACCCAAAACTCATCGTTTACTCACACTCATGTTGATACTTGTAAGTGTACTATTTCAATACTCCTTGTGACTAAATTGGCACACTTTCTAGTATATACAAGTATACTTTTAAGTATACTTTAAGTATAACAGTAGTAAATTTGAGTACACAACTAGTTTACATCAAAATGTTTAGCTTGTACTGCAACTATACTAAAAGTGAACTTATAGGTATACTGATAGTTTACTAATTAAATACTTGTTGTAGCATTTTTAGTACACTTTGAAGTATAGTCTCAGTAAACTACTAGTTTAGTAGTTTTATACTGCAAGTATACTCGTAAGTTTTTTTTAAGTGAACTTTACATCATACTTGAAGTATACTACTATGTCCCTATTTAGGTATTAATTTGTATATATTTTGTTAGATGAATATCTGAACATACAAAACATCAAAAGAACAGGGTATCTGCTTGAAAACAAAAACATTTTATTCTAGCTTCATGCATTCTTTTTTTAAACACTTGAATGTGGATAAGTTTCATAAATAAAAAGGAACACAAGTATAGCTCAAATATATTTAGACTTTTTCTAAGTATAAGTCAAGTATACTTAAGTCATTTTAAGTATATTTCTGAGAAGTACATAAAAAGTAGACTAAAAGTATACTTTCCTATTTTTAGTTTAAAAGAAGTATACTAATAGCACACTTGAATAAACTTCTTTTTCGTAAGGGATGGTAAGAAAAGAACGGTTCTTTTAAGAACTCTTCCCTGAAAGGTTTTTTGAGGAACCCAAAATTATTCTGTTATGGCATTGTTGCGAAAGCCCATTTTTTTTCGACCTTTATTTTTAAGAGTGTAGCAAATGACAGTTTAGCAGAATAGCCAGTCCTGTTTCATAGTCCTAACTACATTCAGCTTCAGTTATTCATACAGACAGCATTCAGTATGTTAGTAAATACGGTTGTTTGACCCAAACACTGACAAAATCCGCATCTCTCTTCAGTTCTTCATGCTGATCCTCATTATATTCCTGGCAGAGCTGGCGGCAGCCATTCTTGCCTTCATCTTCCGGGAACATGTGAGTGACCATGTCCAACATGTTGAGACAGATTTATGTGTTCTCTGTGCGGCTAATATCTCTAAAAAAAAATTGTGCATGGGTGTGCAGCTGACTAGAGAATACTTCACTAAGGAACTGAAGAGGTACTACCAAGGCTACAACAACACTGATGTCTTCACATCAACGTGGAACGCCATTATGAATACAGTAGGTCTTGTGTGTTCCTCAAACATCAGCTACTGTGAATCACTGTTTACCAAACTTATTTAACCCATCAAAAAAAAAAAAAAAAAAACACCAAGCAAAAAATGAGCTTATTTGAACTCATATTCACCTGTCTCTGCGTTCCTCTAGTTTGACTGCTGTGGAGTGAACAGTCCAGAAGACTTTGAGGAAAGCATCTTCAGGTTTATAAACCCCGGTGAAGTGGTGCCCGAGGCCTGCTGCCGTAGGAATAATCATCTCGGAGAAGTAGGCTTCAGTAACAGGGAGGAATGCCTGTCAGGCAGCATGCTGTACCGGAACAACAAGGTGGGCTCTCATACTGTTGTATACGTCATATCCCCTCTGCCTGCTCAAAAGCTCATAGCTCAAATTTAACTAGAGCAGAAAACAGGAAAAGAGGAATAGTGTTACCACTCTGCTTCAGCTGCCCCAGTGCTGACTAGTGCTTTTCCATGTTCTCAGTGTCTGGGGAATATGAGCGTGTGTGAGAGTTTCTGTGAAAGCGAGCAGGGGCAGTAAAACTTAAGTGAGAGTCCGCATGGGTTGTCCTCTAGTCATGCATACTTGTATTAAAAGTTACAAGTGAACTTACTAAAGAACAAGATTTTCTTCTGATAATTATGTGTTGGGAAAATTTTGTCATTTACTCATGTCGTTCCAAACCGTTATGACTGTCTCTGTGAAATACAAAATTTGTTGTTTTGAAAAAAATCTTCACACACTTCACAGCTGTTTAACTTCATAATTCAGAAAAAACACTTTAAAAATCGTCCATATGACTTGTGAGCTATGTTTGAAGTAATCTGGAGTCATTTGATAGCTTTGTGTGAAGAACAGGTTCATTGTTGAATCATTGTTTAATGATAATCTTCTCCTTCTGTGAACTGTTAATCTGAGACCAGATCATTGAGTCCGTTTGATTCTTGATCAAAACTGACCAGTCTAGTTTAAATCATCCAAGTCGCAAGTGAAGTCAAATTTATTTGTGTAGCGCTTTTCACAATACACATCGATTCAAAGCAGCCGTGTCAAAAGTCATACTTGAATGTCTAATGCCTTAGTGATCCTCTGGATTTAGATTGTACTATTGTTTAACAACATACCAATTGTTCAGCTGTACTGTTCTATTAAGAGATTTAAATATTGGTTGCTTTTGTTTTAAGTGAGAGTGAGCAATTGTTTGAAAGTATAAAAGAAAATATGACCAGTTGTTGCTTGTGAGAAGTCTGAAAACTTGAAAAGAACTACACAGAGCTCTAACTGAAAAGAACTAATGGAAAGCAATGATTCATTCACTCATTCAAACTCAATGAACTAGTCACAGCTGAATATAGTGCACAAGTCGTATGCACTACTAGGTGTTTATTTGCGTCACTTTTTTAGTTTTTTGAGATTTACAGACAACATGTACAGGCGAGTAGATAATGGCATCATTTCACAAAATTTTACAAATTAAAATGTTTGTTTTTCTGTTTGGATCGGCAGGGCTGCTATTCAGCGGTTGTGGACTACTTTGAGATGTACATCTATGTTGCTGGTGCCCTGGCTATTGTTGTACTCACGATCGAGGTAAGGTATTACATAATGTCTGTTGCGTTGATATTATCTCAGAGAATTAGTTTAAAACCGTTAAAGATGGGACAGATCTTGAGAGAATGACCACAGATACACGAGTTTGAGTTGAACAGAACCGAGGCAGTCCTTTAAATTGAATCACTGCTGCCCTCATGTGGTAATGTGCTGGAGGTAGACAGCTGAATGAAGTGACTTCCCTCGAGTAAAATCATGGTCGCCCTGATTTTGCCAAGTAAGACATGTTCTGGATCAACATTACTGTCCAAAAATATAGACTAAACCCAATCCCTACCCCTAAACCTAACCCTACCCATAATTTATTCCTAAAATCAGTGTGAAATGATAGCTGATTAACAAGGGTGTAAAAGCACCTAACCCTGATCGTAAGCCTAAAACAGATATTTCCTGAAAAGTTATCCCTTAATTCTGATTGGTTAATTGGAATGTTGTTCCAGGATCAACAAGGATGTTGATCCAGGAACATGTTGTACTTGGTGAAATCACGGTCACCTAAAATCATCATGCTGTACAATACAAATTAAATTAATCAAAGGAACCATTTCAATTAAGCAGAGAAGCTGAATGAAGTTTGAGTAGATGTTTTTTTAACATGAGAGGGGCCCTTAAGATTGAATCTTTCTCTATGAATTGTTTTATAACTAAAATAAGCAAAACTGTTTGAATGGTTCATAAAAGTTTGTTTCCTTTCATATGAATCTACATAAGATGTTTGTATTTATTTTCTCAACAGCTTTTCGCAATGGTGTTCGCCATGTGTTTGTTCAGGGGAATCCAATAGATCAAGTTCACCGAAAGACTTTTTCAAAAAGGAAAACACCACAAAAGAAAACTGAACCACTTGTCAAAGAATGTTTTACTCCATTTTTTTTATCTCTAAAATTATTAAGGAACAAAAAAGAATCATTGACCTGTACTTCACAGCTGGACCTTTGAGGTACAAGGTAACAAAATAAAACATTGACAAAAAAAGAACATTCTTTGAATACTGCGATGATTTATTGGACTTCTTGTCAGAAAGCCCAATGCGTAACTTTGACCAGGTGTTAAAAGACCAGATAAAGCCTGAAAAACGGATGAAGAAGGTGCTGCACTGATTTTGGATAAAGAATATTTATACTGAGTAATGCTGGCTTGTTTGTATAGGCATTTGTGCTTTTAGTAAAAAAAAACTAAAAAGATCAAATAGATTAAACCTCTCTCCTGTCACCAACACATCACCAGTCCTCGAATGCAAGCTTTCACAAGCACATTATATTAGTGTTGTATAGTCGTGTGAATTTCCATTTTTATCTATTCCTGTGTGTGTGTGTGTGTGTGTGTGTGTGTGTGTGTGTGTTGGGTGAATGTACCTCTTCCTTGCTTGAAGCCCAGCATTGTTTTTGTATTGTGATGTTTATTGAAATAGTAATTCTGTGATTTTAGCTGAAGTTGATGTGTATGCATTTGTATTGAAGATAAGACTAACATTAAAGGAATCTCTGATTAACCATTTGCTCAGTCTCCATAAATCCGATCTTTGGGAGTCCAAGGTTTAGTTTAATTGTTTCCACATTGGCATAAATTCACTTTGCTCATTCTGCAGCTCACTAACAGCAGCGAATATGGACAACTCAATTCATGTTGTAAACCAGCAATAAAGGATTGTGGCAGCATGTACAAATACCTTCAAGGTACACCACCACAATCTTCCACTAGTAAAGTGGGAAACAATCCACATCCAGTTAGTGTTGGAGAGGGGGATGTGGATGGTAAAAAAAGAAAGAGGAAGGAAGAAGGACACCATTAAAAAGAAGAAAAGGTTTTGGAGGGGACATTTCTCATTAGAGGTGGCAGATGACCCTAATGTCCTCCCGATTGACCAACCTGAGGATGATGATAATGTCCTCCATGTTCCAGTCTGCTCTGAACATGATTGAAACAATAGCGTCCTCCCCGACTCCCGACCAATCTGCATCTGACTGACATGCCAACAGTCCGCTTTGCATCTGATTGGAGCATCGACATTCCCTATACTGCAGCTCCTTCTACACCAGATTGGAGTGTCGACATCTTCCAAACTCCAGCCCAATTTGTGTCAGACTCCAGTCAGAACAACAGAGGATCTTGTGTATTTGGAGAACGATATGAAAGTGGAGATGAGAATTCTGAGTCTGTTTACTGCCACAGCATACACATTCTTGATAAAACCTCTTCTGGACTGCTTGACTTTTTTTTTTTTTTTGCTGACTATACATATTTATCTTTTAACAGCCATCAATTCCCATCGTAATGAAATTGGCAAAATGTTGCTGGGCGAAGGAGGTTTTGGAGCCGTGTATAATGGGAGTCGTTTGAAAGATGGCCCCAGAGTTACTTTTTTTCTTTCTTTTTTCTCTTTTTTTTTGCTAACATTATCTAGATAGCAAGTTGGTTAGTCTTATCGTCTTCCTTGTAATATCTTAAGCCCCGTTCAGACTACACAATTTTTTTGTCGATTACGACAGTCACTGTCAGATTATCCGATTTTGACTGGATAAAATCTTATCCTGCCAGACTACGCGTTGCTTCCCGACCAATCATCGCGTGACGTCGTGCGTACTGTCATCAAGAAGCCTTACTTCCGTAAACAACCGCGGCAATGGATACCAAAATTGCGTGTTTTGTACTGGCTCTGTTGTCCTCGGAAAAGTGCAAAAAAAGAAAGAAAACTCGACAGTGGACACGTTCCTGGCTTGCTTGAAGAGGAAAATATGGGCTGTCAATCCTCCAAAGAGAACTCGGGGTAAAATATGGATTGTTTATAGTTTTATTTTTAGCCAGACAAAAACAGACCGTTAAAAAAAATTGAGCTAAAGCTTAAATTAAGCAGTATGCAGCTCCAATGTTTTTCATTGATCACCATTACTCTATCATTTACAAACCCTCTTAGTGTCATCCACTGATTAGAGCACTTGGCCTGTAAATATGCATCATTTAAAAATCATGCCTGGAATTTAAATTCGTGAAACTTTATGTGAAACCGTACAGAAATTCCTGGGGTTTTTTTTGTTCCTCATGTAGCAGTGAAATTTGTTACAAAGACGGAGAATGTGGTGTATACCACCATTGTAAGTAGGCTGTGATTGCTGTTTTTTTTCCCCGTCTTGGTCACTGTTTTCAGTTTAAAATATATTATCATAAACTTTAGACTACAAATGTTTTTTCAGTATAAACAGCCATTGTCAGCGGACTGTTTAAGAATGGCTTAATTGGTAAACCACCTCCAGCTAAGTACCAAAAAAGTGTCTTTTAGACACTCCCAAACCCTGATGTAGTAGCCCTGATGATTCCAGCCAATGAAGGTCCCAGGGTTTCTGAGATCATCGAGCTCTTGGACTAGCAGGATCGACCTGATGATTACATCATGGACTTAGAGTTTGGTCAACACCTGTTTGGTGCTGTGGAGTGCCATGGATGGGGCCTTAATGACGTGGATTGTCATGGGGCAGGTAACCCACACTGCTTTCACTGCGTGCTGCGATATCAAACTAGAATCTGCCATTTAACCAGGACGCCCTTGAAGTGAAGCTGATCGACTTTGGGTTTGGTGATCTTCTTGCAAACTCGCCATTTCATTTGTTTATAGGTATGTATTATCTCAATTTCTTCTCAATATCTTGTATCAAGATAGGAGCATCAAACCTTTTTTGTAACGCAAACTTGCATATATATATATATATATATATATATATATATATATATATATATATATATATATATATTACACACCCTGAAGTCGTTCCAGACACATATCTTTCTCTCTGTGTGCAAAGCAGATTTAAATAATGTGATCTGGTGGATTAAGCTGCCAATAAAGGTGCCAGTATTTTACTGCTATAGAACCAACCTACCATATTTTACCGAGGGTTTTTTGATGCAATTTTCTCCCATTCTCTGCATTGTATCACACAACACCTTTTCTTCAGTTATAAACTCGTTTATCTTTGTCTCCTGACGTGCGTTTGTTTTTCTGTTTGTGCGTGTGAGATGGAGAGAGTTTAGCAAAGCCCAAGGGACTGAAACTCTGCCAGAAATGTAAGAAGTGTGAAGGGATCGGACCGTTCACAGAGTGAGAAAGTAAAAATGGGTTGTGTGAGTGCCAGACTTCTTCCCTGATGGATTCATTTGGGAGAGCTCCAGCCTCATCTGGAAGGCTGTCAGGTCCCAGCAGAGGTTTTATTGGGTGACAAGCATTGTGTTGGCTGTCTCCTTACAGCTCTGGATGCAGACCAAAACTGTTGCTCAATGCAGAAGAAGACAAAGTTTGCTTCTTAGTCCTGTGAAATATGTTGAACTCTGGTCCTCAGTTTGTGAAATGCTTGTTTTATGTAGTTTGTGCGCATTTTATCTTATAAGTTGTTTTCTAACAATTTTTAAGAATGGAATGAAGGACCACTGCCCTTTTCATGCTTTACACATGACAAATAAATAGAATTACAATATATCCAAATGGTGTCTGTCTGTTAAATTTCAATAGGCATTCTTGCCATTAGATGACCTACTTGACATGCAGGTGCAAATTTCCATGTGCAATGTGTTGAATTTCTCTATGGCCATTTTGTGTTAGAAATATAATGGATTAAAAATAGGATCCTATTGCAAAGCAGTTTCAACTCTTTGGAATAAAGTCCAATCCTTGGTTGTTGGGGACTGTTCATTTGCTGTGGAGCAATTTGCATGTAAATCATTCTCTTCCTCTTTCCACACCCCTTTTCTGGTTCAGCTGACTAATGCAGTTTTTTGCCATGAGAGACGTTTGTATATAGAAATGCATGCATTCAAATGATTTACTGCCATTATTTCTGTATTTTAGGTTATAAATTAAACCCAAAACAATTAGCCATAAACTAGCCACAGCACAAAAATGGATATGACTTGAAGATAATAACCTTTGTCACTCTGTGAGTTTAAAGGGATAGTTCACCCAAAAATGAAAATGTTATGTTTATCTGCTTACCCCCAGGGCATCCAAGATGTAGGTGACTTTGTTTCTTCAGTACACAAGAACAGAACACAAATGGATATTTTTAACTCAAACCGTTGCCGTCTTCGCGCATTCTTCTTCTTGCTTTATGGCGGATCGCAGACTTATAAGTGCATTACCGCCACCTATCTCTCAAATGGACCATTGACACGTTATCTACAATCTCAATTAGGAGTGTCAATGGTCCATTTGAAAGATAGGTGGAGGTAATGCACTTATAAGTCTGCGATCCGCCGTAAAGCAAGAAGAAGAAGAAGCATCTGAGAACGAGCTCAGGACAGTTCAGACATTGCAGTGCATCAGAGGTAAAAAAAACAATATAAATACTGTTCAGTTTCTTGCACAGACCAAATCGTTTGGTGTCTTTACACATCAATGTATCGTCACAAGCCTCAGGGTTTAATTTGGTTTTGTTTGTGTATGTTTTTTTTTACTTTCAAAGCCGTGATTCCCATTCACTTCCATTATAAGACTGACAGACTGCAACGGTTTGAGTTAAAAAAAACTTTGCTTGTGTTCTACTGAAGAAACAAAGTCACCTACATCTTGGATGCCCTGGGGGTAAGCAGATAAATATCAAATTTTCATTTCTGGGTGAACTATCACTTTAAAATGCAAACTGTCTTCTCAAGTAGAATAAAGTAAACACTTTTTGTAACGCATGTTTAAATGTGTTTAGTTGGTTGTAAGTATTCCCATAATCATTTTAATTTAATACATTTCAAGATTCTTTTATACGGCAACAACATAACACAAATGGATAAAATGCTTTGTATTTTACACAGACTTGAATTTCATGACATACTTGTACAATATTTTCAGGATGGAATTTAATGATGATTTTAAAAAAGAAAATTAGTTATGTTATCAAGAATAACAGCAAAACCAGGAAAACTATATCATTATAACTATATCAAATTCAAACATACATAGGAAGCAAATCATTGTATTATCCAAAGTGCATGCT